TTAGATAGATAGATAGATAGATAGATAGATAGATAGATAGATAGATAGATAGATAGATAGATAGATAGATAGATAGATAGATAGATAGATATAGACAGGAAAAAAAATATAAACAGCCTCATTACACACTATACCGTTTCCTATTTTAATGTCCATTTTACTACAATTTACAAGTATGAACAGCACTTTCAAAACTTCCACCACATTTTTGGGGATTCTGTACAAATAAGGTCTAGCACAGTTTGATTAAACTGCAACTTGCCCCACCTGGGCAGTGCTACTGACTGAAGTGTCTAGGCCATTCCCAAAGGGGGGATATTAACATGTTCTTATACACAGTAGATTTGTGAATTGTAAATGGGCTGATTTATCAATGTCATGCTCATACTGTGCCGGAACAACCTAGGGGGAACTGCTGCTTTTTTCCCCTTATCCTTACTGTCGTCATTTTTCCTCTATTTCTTTTCTATGTTTGTCACTCTCTTGTGAACTGCTGTTTCCGGGGTGCCTTGATAGTCGAAGCAGACTTTGTGCTGTTGAGGCTAGAGAGGTGAGCAGTGAAAGCCTGATTCCCCGTTTGAACTTCTCTCTTCACACCCACCCCTTGGCGCTCATATGACCTTATGCAGTTGCGTCGTAAAACCTTACTAAAACTAACTAAGCCGTTACTTTGGCTTAGCGTTTTTAGGGCTTCGCTGTTGTACACAGAAGACGAGTTCGAGACCTGTGAGGGAGGTTGTTTTTTCTCTCGAGTACACTCCGTCAGAGATGAGGTGGGAAGAATGTGTTTGCGATGGATTGGACACACTTTCAGAAAGTCAAACAGCTGTATAACAAGGAAAGTGTTAGATTGGAACCCACAGGGTAAAAGATCAAGGGGAAGACCTCGTGGAACCTGGAGAAGAGTCACGGAAATGGATGTACAAAAACGTGTGGAAGATGTGGAGTGACATCAAGCGAATAGCCCAGGATAGGGAAAGGTGGAAAGTGTTTGTTTGTGGCCTATATCCTGATCCAGGGTGAGAAAGGCAATGATGATGAAGATACTCTGTCTGCCCAGTGGGACGAGGTATCCTTCTCTACACCTGTCGGCCCTGACAGATAGGATAATCGCAGCTCGCATCCTTGATGATCTAAGCCCAAATAGTGTCTAAAGGGGTCGTAAAACCCCCATAATTTCATTTTATTTCCCATCGTGACTCGATAGACTAAAACTGAGACGACTGGTTTCTTCATAAGTGTCTTACCGCACATGTTGCACGTCTGGGGGCAGATAAACACTGCGAGAGGGTCGCTGCACACATCTTTGTTGTTCTGAAACGAAACAACAAAAGGTCAAAGGTGAGAAAAGGTCAAAGGTGAGAAAAGGTTAAAGGTGAGGCGGCCATGTTCCATGTGCCTGAGTGAAGCGCAGAACTGAAAAAAAAAGAACTATTAATAATGATAAAGAAAAGTTAAATGATATATTTTGCTTATTGTCGTGATGAAGGCAGCGTTTTTGGATCAACTGATAGACGGATGGATGGATGGGCAGCAGGGTATGTGGATAAATGATGGGTAGATAGGTGGGTGGGTGGTTGGGTGGATGGATGGATGGATAGATGGATAGATGGATAGATGGATGGATAAATGGATGGATGATAAAATGATTGGATGATTGGATGGGTGGAAGGATAGATGGATGGATGGGTGGATGGATGGATGGATGGATGGGTGGATGGGTGGATGGATGGATGGGTGGGTGGGTGAATGGGTGGTGGGTAGATGGGTGGATAGACGGATGGATGTCTGGATGAACGAATGAATGACAGAATAACCGAAAAAGGAAGGAAGGAAGGTAGGAAGGAAGTAATGAAGAAAGGAAAGAATGAACGCATCCCACCTGCAGATCAGAGCAGCCGCCGTTGACCACTGTATCCTGGCAAGCAGTACTGTTGATGGCACTGCAGAGACCACAGGTGTCAGGGCAGATGTCCAGGGCTAGCCTATCGTGACACACATCCTGGGTCTTGACCAGTGTCTTGCAGCCATCGTTTGCCACCTGGTCCTTGCAGTCGCCCTTGAACTTGTCCCACAGGGTGGCGTTGCTGGTGGCGGCGGCGGGAGTTGTGGGAGGGGCTTGTGTGGCTGGTTAGTGGAGGTGGTGGAGGAGGTGTGAAGAGGGGAGTATACTGTACGTGGAAGGTAGGAGTTTGAACTATTAATTTCTGTTTTTATTTTTTAAATAATTCTAACAGTAAAAGAAATGTTCCAGATTATGTGTCATACAAGCTTAAGTTCTACTTTGAAATCACACAAACAAACGAACGAACAAATAAACAAACAAACACACAAACGAACAAACATACAGATAAATAAACAAAAAACAACAAACAAACACAAAAACAAACAAATAAAAACAAACAAACAAATACACACACAAACAGACAAACAAACAAACACACAAACAGAAACACACAAACACACAAACAAACACACAAACTAACAAACAAACAACCACTCAATCAGCCCAGAGCCAAACTGCCCCTGCAGACAATCATTCGTCGTACAACAGCCCAGCACACTAACAAACACACGCACACACACACACACACACACACACACACACACACACACACACACACACACACACAAACAGTCACTCACTCAGCACAGAGCCAAACTTCCCCTGCAGACAGTCATTGGTCGTACAACAGTCCAGCACACAATGCGGCCCATGTGGTCCCTCGTGGGGCCCATGTCCGTCACAGTCGTGGTGCCTCATCTCGTCCTGGCAGTGCTGTGAGTGTGAGACATCCCAAACGCTTTTTTACGCCCCAATCAGCAACAATTAGGTCAATATCATGTCAAACTATAGTCGAGCCTTTTATATAAGCCACCAGTCCAAGACAATCAGCAACAATTAAGTCAATTTCATGTCAAAATGTAGTCGAGCCTTTTATATCGGCAACTGTTCATTCAAGACAATCGGCAACAATTGGGTTAATGTGTCAAAATGTAGACGAGCCTTTTATATTGGCCACTTGTCCAAGACAACCCCCCCCCCTACCCCCATCCCACTCACTTAGCTTGGTCATATCGGAGATGGACGCTATATTTTTGTATTATTCAAAGGTCTTGCCCCTTGAATAACCTTACAATGCTTAATGTTCACAGCTGGCTGTGCTTGCCCGTGCAATTGGCTATTTCATATCCAGTACGGCGATTAGTAAAATGAAATAACAAACTAAAATGAACAACACCTTTAATTAAAATAAATAATGCATTAAAAATATACTGCATATTACAATAAATAACACATTAACAAATGACACATTTTAATAAACGACACATTGAAATACTTTTTTTTATAAAACATTAGAATAAATCACACATTGAAATAATTAACACAAACAACAAATGGAATCAAACACCGTATTAAAATCACTAACTGGTTAAAACAAACAACACATCCGAATAACTAACTCACAAAAACTAACAACACATTAGAATAAGGAACACATTAAAACAAACAACACATTAAAATAACGAACTCATTAAAGCAAACAACACATTAGAATAACGTCCACATTAAAGCAAACAACACATTAGAATAAAGTCCACATTAAAGCAAACAACACATTAGAATAACGTCCACATTAAAGCAAACAACAAATTAGAATAACGTCCACATTAAAGCAAACAACACATTAGAATAACGTCCACATTAAAGCAAACAACACATTAGAATAACGTCCACATTAAAGCAAACAACACATTAGAATAACTTGCACATTCAAACAAGCAACACATTAAAATAACGTACACATTAAAATAAACAACAAATTAAAATAACGAACACATTAAAGCAAACAACACATCAAAATAACTAACTCACAAAACAACTAACACGTAAAAACAAACAATACATTACGTGTAGAATAAGGAACACATTAAAACAAACAACACATATCATATTAAGCGGCCCACACACGCTCAGACTTTTTCATCAATAGTATTGACGTCAAAGTTTTTGACAGTTTTGACGGTTGCCGTACGCGCTCAATATTATTGTGCAATATTCAGTCTGTGAACGGCAATGGACGAAGCAATAGCGCTGGCTCTTGCACTAGTGTGCCTCAAGCGAAGAAGATTTTTTTTTAAAGTGAATTTGACGCAAACTATTGATGAGTGCCCACACACGCTCAGTGGTTTGATGGTTTGCGCAAAAAATATCAACTGAAACAGGTCCATCAATATATTTACATCAATACTTTTGAGGCCATCAATACCGCCCCTAAACGATAAAAAAAGCGTCAAAAAGTTGGCCGTCAATACTATTAATGAAAAAGTTTTTACCGTTTTAGTAGAGGTCTTACGGCGCTCGCAACTTGATAAGGTCATATGAGCGCCAGAAGATTAGAGGTATTACAAGAGAGTAACAAACACAAGAAAGAAGCAGTGGAAATAAGGACGATAGAAGTTTGATAGGAAAGAAGAAGCAAACCACACCAGAGCACCCGCCAACAATCCACTGAAAAAGTGTGAGCGTGTGTTGTGGGCCGCTTCAGACGAGGCGTTTGATTGAGCCAGCCCTTACGTGTAGTTCGTGGTCGTCCTTACACTCTCCCTTCAGGCCGTGCTCGTCTTGGGAGATCTTGCAGAACTGGGGAGAGAAACATAGCACAAGACTCGTCAATCCTGGCCGCAAACTGTCGGTTGTTGGTTTGTTGGTTGGTTTTTTGGTTGGTTGGTTTGCTGGTTTGTTTGTTTCTTTGCTTGTTTATTTATTTATTTCTATTTTATTATTTTTTTATGGAGAGAATGTTGGGGGTG